CAAGATATTTTATTTACAAATGTAAATTAACTCGTTTTCCTAAATAATGATAAATTAAAAGAATGATTTTTTTCCCAAATTGAATAGAGAACTTGCATGGGTCACGTGACTTTGTTTACTGGACGGCAAAAAAACAAAAACGTCTATTTGGCTCCTGTCAGTTGCAAGTCGGATTATACCTTTTCGTTTTGTTTGGCTGTTGAAAATGGTTATTTCGTATTTTTCCGTTGGCTGTACGTATAGTATAGAGAGTATAGACAACGAAATGGATCTCCAGTCATATTCCACTGTTTTCAAAAGATCCGGAACGTCGCGCAATGTGGAAATCATCTATATTGATTGGCAGGACTGCTTGGTGTCAAGTCCAGAAGTCATCTCGCTTGTGTTTCACGGTTTGCGGACAGCACTTCGTTGATGGTGAGTGATAATGTGCCGTTATCAATTTCTTTAAATATTCATAAGCTCCCTCATTTCAATGGAAAGCAGATGACAAACTACTGTTATTGGTAGGCCTAGGCTACTCGCAGACTTGACTTTTGTAAGGAAATAATCATCAATTGCCATAAGGTATTGTTTGGCCGTAAGGTAAGGTTTGCAAGATGCAACATCGTACGATTACCATTCTATGTCGGGATTAGTTAGCCAGTTATTGTTTTCAGAAGCATGGACTTGATGGAATGTCATAATCGACCAGCGGTCGTGTGAATCACCCTCAGTGGAAGGAGAGCTGCAATACTCTCGCACATGACTGTCGCCACATGGGATTGGGACCGGTGAAACTACCAGGGTGGTCAGAGATGCGATGGCGAGCGTATTTCTTCCTTCCTTCAATTGAATTCTGGTTATTTTTTGCATGAGCACTGTCGTTAAACTTTAGTTATTTATTGAATTTTTCACACTTACTAATAGATTACCTGCTAACTAGGAAAACAATACCCTTTGGCAATTGATGATTAAATCCTGACACAAGTCAAGTAGGCCTACGCCTAGGCCTACCTACCAATAACGGTAGTTTGTAATCTGCTTTCCATTGTAATGAGAAAGCTTATGAATATTTAAAGAAATTGATAACGGCACATTATCACTCACCGTCAGCGAATTGCTGTCCGCAAACAGTGAAACACAAGCTAGATGACTTCTGGACTTGACACCAAGCAGTCCTGCCAATCAATAGAAGATATCCACATTGCGCGACGTTCTGGATCTTTTGAAAACAGTGGAATATGACTGAAGATCCATTTCGTTGTCTATACTCTCTATACTATACGTACAGCCAACGGAACAATACGAAATAACAATTTTCAACAGCCAAACAAAACGGAAACGTATAATCCGACTTGCAACTGACAGGAGCCAAATGGACGTTTTTGTTTTATTGCCGTCCATTAAACAAAGTCCCGTGACCCGTGCAAGTTTTCTATAGAGTCAAGTTACGTTTATTTTTACAAACCAGAATTTTTTTTTTTTTTATGAAAATAAGAAAAAAGATAACTGTTTCATTGATTTGAATCCCGTAGGAGAAAATGGAATGGAAGCGTACACGATAACAAGGAGCAATAGAAAAGTTGGGTTGCATCCCATGGTAGACAATGAATAAAAAATCGTCGTCATTCTCTATGATCAGCAAGTACGCACACTAAAAATCGGGGGTGGGCAGGGTTTTTAGACAGAGTGCCAAAAATTTTCGCCACCTAGACTGACGGGCCATGTGAGGGGGACGTAAAAAGTTGCAAAAAAAGCAACATTGGAAAACAATAAGTCTCATGCCAAAACTTAAATTTAATCGCAATCTCAACAAATTCCTTGATCCGTTTTTTAGATAAAACATTAAAATTTGGCTTTGGTTTGGTTGTGACAGCATCCGACGGGCCAGATTGAATTACCGAATTACCCAGCGGGTCGGATTTGACCTGCGGATCGTAGTTTGCTCATGTAAGCTATGAATCAAAAACGAATCTTCTACTCTGGTCTAGTGTATCATCAGTTGCAATCTAGATGGCATTGAATAATGTACGATACAACAATTAACCAATCACATATCAATGAAAATGCATGATATTGAGATGACGGTCATTTCTGCGAGATACTTGCTGGACCACTCGCTGTTGCAGGGTCGTTTGCGTGACGTTGACCGTTTACGACCTATTCATATAAGTGGGATAGGATAGGAGGATAGGATTTACATTTATCCCGGGGGAAAGGAAAGCCGATAAGACGGCTTATCCATATGGTGAACCACGGCCTCTCGTCCGGTTACCATTCCAAGTCGGGTATGGGTTTAGTTATATTGTTTGCTTTCGGAAGCATGGACTTGATGGTGGAGGAAGCCGTAACCGACCAGCGGTTACGTGAACCACCCAACGACGGCGAGGAGTCCAGCAATCCTCTCGCACATAACCATCCCTGCATAGGATTCGAACCTGCGAACCCCCGTAGAGTAATTACTGATATAGATCCGATAAAATAGAACAATAAACTAGTTAACTATTTCTATACCTAATATAATTTCATCCTGATGCTGTAATCAGTTTTTATTCTTTTTAGTTTTTGTTATTGATACTATGCTAATTATTGTTTATCGATTCAAAATATATTTATATATACCGAAATTCCGAACATGGGAACTCATATGATTGGGACTCACTCCACCACTAATCTCTCCGCTTCCAGCGAGGTGTCCTTGTGGCTCTGTAATTTCCATATTTCTGTAGGCCTATTTAGTCTGGATGTCAGGATTTATGAGATTTATTTTGTAATTGAATTACCCCGTACTGTTACTGCCATGTAAAATATACCAGGGCGATACAGGGACCGTAACGGCTGAACAGACTGCTGGACTGCAGCATAAAATAAACACGTCTTCTTGCCTTTGGATAGATAGATAGATAGATGGATAGATAGATAGATAGATGGATAGATGTTTATTTCGAAAACTCCATAACAAACCTAAATTAAAAATGGAGAATTCTGGAGGGCAAGCAAAACCTACAAAAAAGTTTAAAACATGAAGTATCTCATGTGCCTGCCCACCAGCACGCACACAAAAACACAAGCCCAATTAAATGAGGCTTGGGCCAAACTTAACAAACAAAATACACGATAGTAATAAACTTTCGGGCTGTTGTACTGCCTTTCCATTCAGTCATTAGGTACAGCATTAATTCACTCACATACCACCGTACCGGTACCGGTACTGTCAGGCGGTGGACAGGTCTAGTAGCCAACCAGAGAATTTTTCAACATTCCACAAGTGTTGTTTTGATTTTGAAAAATTGCTTTTTTCCAAACTTTTGTAATTTGTTTAGATACGGTACCGGTCTGCCAGTACGGTACCGGTACCGTATCGGTCGCCTGGTCTCATACTGGTATCGATACGATTTCACAATTGACATGTATCACTTTTCGCCCCCGCAGTTTTGCAGTTTTAGGCTATACAGCTATCTTTTGTCAATTGCGCCATGCTTGTTACCGTTGTAATTACCGTACAAATCGGGTGACATTGTCCCGTTTCAGAGAAACCCATTTTACAGATGATCAGACGCCCTCCTTTTGGGAGACGTCTGGACATTGTTGTCCCTCAATATCGATAAAAATACAATCTAAAACTTTTCTTCTTTTGAGGATTTGTAGGGTGGTGTAGCCAGTCTGCGGACGATTTCATTCAAACCGCTATAAAAAAAAAAAATTTCTAACCCATTAATTTTTTCACCGTAGGTGCATTGACATTTATTCTACACGCTAAACCTTGAATTAACTTTCTACGACCAGGGGTTAAAGCTGTACAAACCTCCAAAGTACGATACTCTGAAGACGTATTTGCGTCCAAACAACCAGTGTGCGACCACGGATTTCAAACTTTGGACATAGATTCTGCTGCGTCGAGACTAGGACATACACAGCCATGCATGAAAAACATTAGCTTCTAATTGCATTTCTGATCATCATATATTTTAAGAACACGGTTATTTCGAACAAAACTCAACAAATAATAAACAAAGCACCGCATCACAGCAATCAAACAGACAAAAACACGGTGGTCGCAAATTGGTTGATCTCTTTATCTCTTATATTTGTATGGATTTTCAAGCTTTAATGGAAAAATGGTCCGTTTTTTTTCTTCGGTCGGGTTTTCGGTCGTAACTTTTTTGTTTGTGGACGTACTTTAGTGTAATTTCGCAGATATACGAGGGATAAGTGGACGATAACGCGTGAGAAATATTGTCGCGGTTCGTTAATTTAATCGATGAAGTTGATGGTCGCAAATAGGTCGTGGCCGCAAAGTGGGTAAGCCACCCTACCTGCAGTGCGTAGAAAAAGTCACAATTTCCATCATTCTCGTTTAAATCATACTTGAGAACTTGAAATTTTTGTAAACGTCATTTTTATGTAAAACTTTACTTTAAAAAATAATAACCGCCCGCGCTTGAATAAGGGCCGGTTTGAGTAAAGGTCTGGTTAGTGAGTTTGGTAAAAAAAATATGGGCCCGGGCTACAAAACGAGCAAATACGGTATTTAATTTGGCCGTCACATGACCAAAATTGTGTTTTTTACCTAAAAATTCTTGAATGCTCCGTTAAAATTTTTTTCCGAGGAATCTAATGGTGACGTTTTTAGATTGCAAGTTTATCGCAAACTCCAGTAACGCACAATTCTTCGATTCCAAGATGTAGCGACATTTGGTTCAAAAAATTTAAATTGTTAAAATGGTGATTTTTGCTAAAGAGCCTGGAATGCTACAGTAACTTTTGTTTCTTTGGTAAATCGTTTTTTTTCCCGATGAATCTAGTGGCGATGTTTTCAGATTGTGCTTTTTAGTTTGTTATGCAGTGCCTGAATGGAGTCCCAGACTGCCTCGTAAAGGGAGGTCTGCGCTGACTGTTTTAATTGAATATTTAAATCGGAGAACTGTGATGTACTGAATTCCGTAAACCAACCTACATTATGGTGTCATTTTCATGAATGTTGATTTAATCTAGGAAGCATGGAAGGGTGAACTAATCGATTTATTTTATTACTACAGAAAGCTTTAGTCGAATAACTTTGCTTCTTAAGAAACACACTTCAACATGGCAGAAGTTAACATTCTGTCATCAATGTTTACTGAGTTGAACAAAGCAATTCATGTGTCTGATTATAAGCAAGCTCTAAAAATTACAAACAAGATAATCCACACGAAGGAAGGGAATCATGATGAAAAAGCTATGCATTGCAAAGTAGCATGTATGATCAATTTAAACCAGTTTTCCGAGGCGTTGAAATTCTTACAATCGGAACCAAGTATTGATAAAACCTTGATCTTTGAGAAAGCCTATTGCCAGTATCGTCTTCTACAAACGGACAAGGCACTTGATACGATCAATGAAGTGAAAGATCTCGATAACAGACTGATGGAATTAAAAGCTCAAGTTTTGTATAAACTTGGTTTTTACAACGATTCTTTAGATTTATATAAAAGATTGATGAAAGAGTGCGCAGATGAAGATGAGGAAGAAAGAAAAGCAAATCTTTTAGCTGTGACAGCTTCATTATTTCTCTGGCAAAATAAACAAGTCAACGTCGACTTGGAGTTGAGCTCGCATGAGCAGTTTTATAATAAATCATGTCAGTTACTCGGGGCTGGGAAAGCAAAAGAAGCAGAAGAATTATTGGATCGAGCAATTACTGAATGTAAGGAATATTTTGAAGAGGATCCTGATGTAACAGATGAAGATATCGAGTCTGAATTAGCTGTGTTAAAAGTACAACGTGCTTATGCGATGCAGTTACAAGGACGTGAAGATGAGGCAATGAAAGTGTACAATCAAGTTCTCAAATCCCGGCCTTCGGATATTGGGATTGTTGCAGTTGCTTCTAACAATATCATCACTATTAATCGTGAGCAGAATGTTTTCGATTCGAAAAAGAAATTAAAAGCGACTTTTGTTTCTGGAATTGAACAAAAATTAGTCGGGAAACAGTTAAGTTCAATTGAGATTAACAAATCTCTCTTGTACATGTACTCCAACCAATGGGAAGCTTGTCGCAAGTTGTTGAAGAATCTAAAACGATCACACAAAGATAGTGATGTGCCATGTCTAATACAAGCGGCTCAGTTTTGCAGGGAAAAGAATTTTGACAAAGCAATTGCATTTTTGTTTGATTTTATAGAAAATCATTCTGACCCTGACGTCCATTCTATTGATCTGACGAATGTTAAACTGACGCTTGTCCAGTTACTCTTGGGGCAAAACCAAACTGATCGGGCTTGTGAAATTCTGGAAGAAATGGAATCTATTTGCTATCGACCAGGAGTTATATCTCTTCTCGTGGCTTTGTACGATCGTCAGAAAGGAAGCGAATCGAAAGTTATCAAGATTCTCAACCAAGCAATTAATTGGCATCAAAAAAAGAAAAGTTCAAATAAAATTGTCTCAAAATTGATGTGGGAATGCGCTCAGTACAAACTAAAACGGCATAGACCCAAGGAGGCTGCTGAAACCCTGGAAAAAATGAGGAAAATTGACCCAAATAATGTGAAAGTTTTAGCTCAGCTAATTTTTGCGTATTCACAATTCAACCCTTCAAAAGCTCATCATTTGAGTGAAGATTTACCATCACTTGAAGAAATGTCTCTTTCAGTTGATGTAGACCATTTAGAGAAAAACGCAATTGGCTTACTTGCACCGAGGTATGTCAAAAGACAAGCAAAACAACAGCAAAAATTACAGCAGACTAAAACAGGAAAAAATATGGCCTCCGGAGATGAGGGAGGAAAAAAGAAAAAATCAAAGGCGAAAGAAACAGTTTCTGAAGTGAAAACAGATGAAGTTGTGAACGCTGAAAAGAAGAAACGTAAACGAAAGAAGAAACGCTTGCCGCAGAATTATGACCCTGCAATTGAACCTGATCCGGAAAGATGGATTCCACTTCGAGAGCGTTCATACTATAAAGGAAGACGTAAGGATAGAAAGAAGGGAGTCGGAACTGGAACGCAAGGTTCTTCCACTATTAGTGCAGATAGTTTAGACATGTCAAAACAAAGTACAACACAGACAGCTGGCAGCACAACTCCTGCTTCTCCTAAACCTGGAACTGCTGCCGTTAATTCACCTAAGCCTTCATCTGGGGCAAGACCAAAGACTAAACAAACTGCAAGAAATAGAAAGAAGAAGGGCAAAGGTGGTGGTTGGTAAATCCAATTTTTAAACTTTTCAATACAGAGCTTAAAATGAGAAATACATCTCAGAATCGGTGAAGTGTGCGATTTAAAGAGAAAGAAATGAACAGATATTTATTCAGATTTATGCACAGTCTTTTGTGCAATTTATTTTTTGCTGCTGGTGTGTCTTTGTTTTCAAGAAATTAATTTTCAAAATCAATTTTTAATGGTGTTGCAGGGTGCGTGGTATGAATATTGATTGTAATTTGACATGTTTCAACTCTCCTAATGGTTTTGGTTCCGAATTCCCAGTTGGCAATAGAGATTATTAATTCATAATAATTATTCAAACAAGAGCACAATAGTCAATTATATGCGCATAAAATGACTTCCGCAATGCTATTGAAATTTCAGCCAAACAGGTTATGCTAGTAGAAAAGCGAACTCGAATGAATTTAACTTATTTTGATGATCTGGAGCAAGAATGCTAAGAATTGTACCAGATGCCATATAACAGTGTTTTGGTTGATTAAAAAAACAGTCGAATTTTGGGTGAACTATCAGCCCATGTTCTATGACTAGGAACAAATTAAAAAAAAAGAGAAGTATCGTTCTAGCGACATCTTCCATGCTTACGAATTGAAATGGATTGGTCTAGTTGCAGAAGAAAATTTTTTTTTTACAAAAGCAACAACATTGGTTTAGCAGAACAAATTAATATATTCACTAAATGTCCAAAATCATCTCCAAGACAAAACTTTTGTATTCAAATGAAATGAATATTTATTTCATTTGAGATCTTCTAGTTGCTGTAAAGTTATGTGTTTTTTTCCCACAATATTTATTGTCAGCCCAGATAAATTTTGTATTACTGATAACATTATGTGATAGTATCCACTTAAAAACCACATGTCATGTTTCCATAGGTGTCATATGATACCTAAAACTAGTTGTTGTTATTTATTATCCCCTCAGGCATATTGTTTTATGTTTTACAGCGTTATGAATTTTATGAGTATAAGTTCAGTATATGCTTTTGAGGTTAATGATAACTTGTTTTTTGTCATTATGGGCTATTGTTGCTTTTTGGGAAGGCTTTCTCGAGAATTCAGATAATAAAACTCTTTTTTTTTCGCATAGTTCATCAATTTTACAGTAGATTTATTGCAAGAAATTATTCTAATTTCTAAATTACTTGGCTATATGGCAATTAAAATCTTCAATCTAGTCTTATACGGAGTTGTACTTTATACAAGCAGCGTTGACTTTATAATTTTAATGGTTGGGGTCTGGTGTAGTTTGTATCTCAAGTACTTCTAGTGGGCGTAGCATAACAATTTTTGCATATGTTAATCCTAACCTCAACCTTACTGTGTCCTCCTAAAATTATGTCACTACGACGTCACAGTGATGTAGGTAGGCCATTCAAACTATACGAACTATGCAAAGATCGCTATGCCCACTAGAAGTACTAGAGGTACAAAACCACACGAGACCCAATGCCTGTAGGTATTTCGTTCTTCAATTGTTTTGAATTAAACTATTAAAGTATTCAAGGGAATTCTTAAAATATTGTTAATAAATATACATCCTGCCTTTGGTAACTAACCTGGCCTAGTTGTGAAATATTTTTATCTGTATACTTTTGGGATGAGGTCTGGTTTTGGAGTTTTTGCTTTTCATGTTTTATTAAAATTTATTGTCTATATCATTTTCAGAATCTTTTATGGTTTATTGGTTATTACTGATGCGGATAAAACGGTCGTCTAGTTGTGTACTGGCTAGCGCCTATGAAAATGTGTGTAAACATGTATTACTATACCCCTAGTAGTAATCATTGCTATTTAATAAGATCAGCCATGTCAAAATTTTTTGAAAAAGTTATGAAAATATATTGTTTATTTAAGCTAGGGCAAAAGTATAATTTTTCTCTCAACACACACTTCCAGACTCCCTTATTTTACTGTAATTTTCAGCAAATGCCAAAAACTTTCTCTATGTGCTGTTTATAATCACTGGCTCAAAATTGTTTTGCAAAGTAGTACAATTGCTATTTAACTGTTTAAATAAGATTTGGTGATGAAGAAATTTTCTTAATTCTTCGTAATTAATATAATGTCTCATTATGTTCTGTTCAGTTTCTGTTACATTGCCAAGTCACAATTCATAGTTTTTTCAATGGAATCCTGTTTTATTTCAAATCTGATTGTTTGCATCTCGCAATGGATAATTCTAGAATATTCATCTGTGCGACAAAATTGAAGTTTTTTTCAAACCCAGCACATGTTTTCCGAAATCCGAACCCCCCTATTTTTTGCTATGCTCGGCAATGGTTTGGCACTTTTAATAATTTAACTTTTAAATATCCACTGAGTTGAAACATTTACAAATGAGTGGTAATATTTACCTGGTAAAAATTAGATTTGGTGACAGATAAATTTTCTTTATTAATATGTCAAAATGAAAAGAATGCCTCATAATATTTTGTTCGTTTGCAATTTCAGTGCCAAGACTAATATCATGTTGTTACATTTCATATTTTTGGTCGAAAACTATGTCACACCTGCAGTTAGATTGAGTTTACAATTATTTTCTCTGTTGCAAAAATAAAATGTATGTTTTTTTCTCCAGTTCGTAACTTTTTAGTCTGCAATTAGAACATTGTCTGTGACTGTATGTACTCTTCAAAGACAAGCGCTTCGATTAATTCAATGTTGGAAGGGAATAGATATTTTCAAGAACTAAAATTGGCGGCCATAAATAGGTAAGTTTCAATTGAATTTGTACTCTGTTATATGTTTTTCTAAGAAAATCATTTAATAATGTAAATCAGTGCTGTTGAACTGGGGCTTCAAGGGTTCCGCAAAACATCTATTGGGACTCCAACACCAAGTGCACTGTTGTTCTTTTGTGTACCGATCTCCCAATACCTCTCTGTGTGAAACAGCTTTTTCTTCTTTAATAACAACTATTATTAAGAATAAGAACAGAAGTCGCCTCAATAGAATGGATAGGTGTATGAGGATTGCATTGAGCAACCTGTGGCCGCAGTTAGGCTCAGCAGTGTGGCACATCGCGCTAAACATTAGAAATGCGCTTGTCACTGTACCTTTGATTGTAGGTCCCAACTTAATAAAAATATTTTTAATTGATAGCTAAAAGTTTTATATATTGAATGTTTTCCTGTAATCTAATATCATTATTCGAATTCCAACACTAATGTCTCTCCCATGGAAGAATCAAAATTATAAAATAAGTGTCCATATCTTCCAAATAAATGTTGGTAATTGGTATCATTTTGTTATGTACATTTGCAGTAACTTCTATTATTTGGCATCAATACAGTGTATAAATGAGTCGTTATTAATGTAAATGTCATATAGTCGATAGGTACAGGTAGTCTAATGATATAAAAGGTTAATTAATAATGGTATTCAATCGATCAGACTATTACCAACATGTCAACTAAAACCTGATTGCCTGATGATTACAATTATGAGTATTCATTTTACAATGTTCACAAATAGCGCAAAGTTATTTTTCGTCAAAAAACAGAACAAAATTAAGCAACCATCATGAAGGATGAAAATATAAATATTTGAATCTTAGTACTGTGATACAGGTTTGACTGGCAAATTTTGTATTCTAATAGTTGTTTTTCTTTGTTATTAATTCAATTCAATTTTTGAATTTCAAATTACCCGAATGCACCATATCTTAATAATATAACAGAAGGCTTGTGTGGTCTCCCTTTTCGATATAAAACGTGTGTGGATATTTCATCACACCTTGCAGGAATCATCTTTCAAAATATGTTTAATATTCCCCCACCAGATGGTGCTATTGAGTATACTTACATGTGCCAGACTGTTGAGAAAAAGGCGGGAAATAGTTGTTTGTTTTAAACTGGTTTGGCCTTCTTTTGTCTGGTTAAACATGACAGATTACAGGCTCATATAAGAGGAATATGAAATAGTAATGAGTTTACTATAATGAATTTATATTTCCCTGACCCTTTTTACTGTTTTGGTGGTTTATTCAAATAGGAATGGAAATTTAATACTAAAAGTCCTTTTTTACTGTTTTTGGTGGTTTATTCAAATAGGAATGGCAATCACTATTGTAACAGAAGTAAAATAAGCACCAGAATCAATATCTATCCATAGGTCGGCTGCCAGTAAATTTCATAAATCCCAAGCCAGTAAATATGACTTTATGTTGTATGTATTATTAATTAAATACAATATTTCACTACTTGAATCCAATAAATTTTTATTCTAAAATACTAGAGCTGGTTTATTTAATATAAAGTTTGCTGTATGCTGTTATTATTAATTACTACGCTGACAATTCCAGAATTAAGGCATTCTAAAACTCATACACTAAAACTTCATAAATGGTTGCGTTCAAGCAATTAACGAGAATATAGGTCAGGGACCGAAGACTTATCGATCGGAAGTTAGGGGAACCCTCAAAACAGCGCTCTTACTCCATAGTGACACCTTGTGTTCCATCACTAAATAATTAATAACTCGCTAATTATACGACATAATTCATCTAAAATAAATAGGCTTCTGGTACGACATATGATGAATGCACATGCAAAATCTGGAGCAGATTCAATCTCGCTTTCGTGAGATATCGCGTGCAAGAGACAAACAAACAGACAGACAAATACCTATCAACATACTTACCGATTAAAATCCATAAGTAGTATTAACTGTTTCTCCAAATAGACCCACCCTATATACTTGAGTGATAGATTGCTACTAGATAGATTGCCCATACTACTTCGTTTTGGCTTTCGTGTCCATATATTTGAGCACCTCTCCCTTGTTGAATGGTCAAGAGGAAGCCAAGATGAACGGTTTGGGTGGTTTGATCTGATTCGGCGGCCTGCCCGGGTTTCAATTATTAAAGCACTGAATTTCCGTTTGAATGCAGCAGCATTTTCGACTAGAAATCATTTGTTGACTGCAGAATTGATAAGAGTATTGAGTCGTTTGGCTACAGAGGTGTCACTGTATTCGCCAAATACCCATCTGGGTTTACTGAGTTCCGTGTTTTATATTTACACTTTTATTCATTCTTTTCAGAATGAGAGCTATGGAGTCGGCATCAACAGGATCTAATGGAAACAAGGTACAACACTGTTTTTCTTTTTTGCTTTTTAATATAAAATTCTTTCAGCAAAGTTCTATTAGAAAAATAAAATAGAATTGAGAATAGCTAAGATAAGATTATGCTATTCTCAATTATTTTTCTAATACTATCTCGTTCAAGCATCCTTGTTAGCAAGCACCTGACACATACGGTTCTAAAGTGCAACACAGTCAGTATGCCTACACAATACCTGAGTACCCTCATAAAAAATAACAATTTAATAAATAAATAAAATTATAAAATCCTCGATTTATTATAATAGTTCCTGATCTGGATACAGAATGTAGACAAAATAATAATAGGATTTTAGAGTGAAGGGAGATGCAAAAATCACAAATGGTTATCAAGCTGAGATGACTTTATTATATAAGCCATTCTACACTACATAAATACGTGGCTATATCCAGAAATAACTAAAATCATTGTCTCAATGGGGTCTCTGTGTTTTTGTTTTTCTTGATAAAGTAGTTTATTTAGTAGAATGATTTATTAATGTTAATAAATTGTGCATGTCGAAAATAATCCCTTGGTGAGTTGTAAACGACGGGAAGAGAAGTTTCGAATTTCCATTTTGCACTTGAACATGAGCTCTTGGTTGGGTTTATTTTGCAGCATTCTGCAGGAGCAGGAAGATTAATAGGATACTATATCTTAGGTATAGGCAATTAACCACTTAATAACTGTCTGAAAAATATCCAGTGTGTCTTATAAATACAGTATAAACTCTTATATTGATATGTTATGCATAACATTTCAGAACGTTTAAATTACTTACGGTAATAGTAAAGCATCACACTGATTCTAATTGTAAGAAATGGCATTTTGCAATTATTTATCTTGCAAATACATACTCAGATGCATGGAATTCTAGCTAATGTAATCTCCTTTGTGAAAAGTAATGCCAAGACTTTTGAATCATCAAGCTTAGCTGTTTTGGACATTTTGAACATAATGTCCAAATGTTAACATGAAAACACAAAGAAGTCTGTTATTACCTATACATCATCTAACTTTTCCATAGTAAGTTTCTCGTGACAGTTGCATTCAATTGTAAAAACAGGTCTCTCATTTCCTCTGTTCATGTTTTAACATGTATAAAATTGGTAGAAATTAAACTATTCTTGCACATTTTTTAGACGATGGATGTTATTGAGGTTATTTAATAGGCACTTGAGCTGGTAGCAGAACTAGTCTGCTATTCAAAACCTCTTATATTGGAATCAGACACTCTGCATTGTAATTATTGTTAATGGTTATTAATAATAGTTCTGGTTGTATTTGAAGTATGTCCTATTAATAATGATTTGAATATCAGGTGTGTTTCAAAGCACAAGTTTTGAAATTATAGAATTTCAGTCGCGTTTCCTGGTGTAAATGCCAAATCGGAAAATTGATTTTGCATCATTCTGCAATGACTAACAATATTTTTGTTAGTTTTATAATGGCTCTTGAATGCCCACTTTACAATATTATGTCTGCTGATTAATGCCACTCAATAACTTATCAGAATGTATGATGGAATTAAATGGTCAGACAATCACACTTTATGGTCACAACTGTCTTGGGGTCAGAAAATTGGACGTTATCACGATTGCTCACTTGTAAAAACAGGTCTCTCATTTCTGATGTATACATTTTATTAATATGTATAGTTGAAATTCAACTATACTCACAGTATTCTGCAGCAGCGAGCTCAATTTTAAAGACAATGGATGTTATTAAATAGGTCCTCGAGCTGGAGGCCTTCCCTCCCCTTTTAAAAAAACAATTTTCTGCATCAGCACGGAGAAAATGAGATTTTGATCACAAAAATTTTGGCTTTCTTTTGCAAAACTTCTTAATTGTCTGTTGAGTAGGCACAGTTTCTCGGATTATCTCTATAAAAATGTGAAATTCTTACTCTGGAGAAGTTTTGATTCTGATTCGAATTTGCAAGGTTCGAATACTTCGCGGCACACTTCAATAAATTTTACTCTGTAACCCTTCTTCTGACCACAGTCAGGCTTCTTCAGACAAGGAGTTTACAACTATGATAAGAACTGAACTAACATTAGGGCCGTAAGGTACTAGGTACGCTCCAGAAGTGTGTGTACCAATATGGAGGTAGCTAATTTTGTTCGCCTACTTTACATGTAAGTATGTATGTATGTTTATTATGTATTTACATCAAGTTGTGTAAAGGGACTGAAACCTATGTATGTCCACTGGGCTAACACAGACAGTCTCCAAACTTGTAAGTCCTAATAGAACTAAAATAAGGAAAACCGGACAAAAAAAAAAAAAATTATGGCCTAACCCTAACCTGGTACACACGTTACGAGAGTACCGATTACTTTAACAGACGGGAGTACCCACAACACTAAGAAATTCAGATAAATTTTATGTTTTTTTTATACAGTGTACATCTGCCTGATAATGGGTCAAGTGCCTTAACTCTTCCATATTAGTTATCACACTTCAGAACTGTC